AAGAAAGTCAGAAAATATTCAGCAGATGGTTTGTTGTCATAGAGCAGTGGCATGCTGATTATTTTCTCAACTGATCTGTTTGTCCATACGTTTCAGACAACAGTGGCAATTTGTATTTTCCTAAGTGACATTTATTTGAAGGTTGTAACTACGGCAAGGGAAGAACCCTGTACATTCTGGGGCAGATCCAGATGAAAAGTTTTTTTTTAGTTTCCTTAACTTCTTTTCTTCTTAAACCCACTTAACTTATTCCCACCAAACTTGGCGGATAGATGGGACCTGGGTCTGGGACGGCTGCATTGGTGCAGATGCCTATGAGGGGCGGATCCGGAATTTTTTTCTTTTTTCTTTATGTTTTATGACAGATTAATCATTTAGCTTCTGAGACTACTTCATTTTTATGGCTCTGCGCAAGCAACAGCCAGTAGCCTGAGGTTTTATAGTTAAACTGTTAAATAAGATTTTAAAAAGGTATCATATCTCGAGATGAGCTGGAACTTATTACATGAAAGTTAATTATACATTTTCAATATAGAATGAATCTTATGTCAATTGATCAATTGGTCATAATCACCTCTAATATGTTTGCTACAGCATTTCATCTTTGTCACAATGGCACATACGGCTTACTGACTTTTAAGCTATGTATTTATCTATGTGGAAGTGTGAGTGTGTGTGTGTGTGTGTGTGTGTGTGTGCATGTGTGTGTGGGCAGTGTGAGTGAACTAATGTTCATTTATAACACCAAGCGTTTGACATTCAGAGTCTGTTTATGCATCAGACATACTGAGAAGAAAATTATACATGAATCTACAGTATCTGTATCAGAGCATTAAGCCCTGCTGTTACTCGGATTAAGCGGTGACCCCTGGTGGAAAGATCACTTCTCCCTGCCACAGTCGGTGCACAAGATGTTGTCACGCTGGGTGAGGAAGCCGCGTCCCACCAGTGACATGGAGCACTGCATGCAGGTGAAACACTCGCTGTGCCACTGGCGCTCCTCGAAGGAAATGTACTTGGCTCCTGCCAGACCTGCACACATCAAACATGTAGATGGTAAATGGTTTGTATTTATACAGCACTTGTCTCATGTTGTTGACGAACACTGTAGATTAGCACTCAAAGTGCTTTACAGTTTTGCCATTCACGCACACATCCATACACATCTATGTGCAGCACTTTCTCTATCACACATCGGGTTTACTATCTGGCCAGCACGAGGAATGGCAGAGACTGGGATCAAACCGCTGACCCTCAGGTTCATGGACAACCTGCTCTACCTCCTGAGCCACAGCTGCCCATATGTCCATGCATTTACATGATATGCAGGTTAATGCCACCTTGTTTATCTGACAGTTCCTGCACAAATGCAGATAAAGGCATTACGTGTGAGCGGTGTGTGAGTGAATGAAAACATGAGCACAGTGACTCACTGGTGATGGGCTTGGTGCAGCCCACACACTTCTTTGCATACAGGTTGCTGAAGCATTCGAGGCAGTAGGGGTAGTTCTCCCGGGAGGTGAAGCGCTGACCTGACAGCTGCTTTCTGCAGCCGATGCATAGGAAGCACTCGCGGTGCCACGGCTTGTCCTGGTACGTCACTCCACCTGTTGTGATGGACTGAAACATGCATACAAACACACAGAGACACACAATGACAATTTTCTCTCTAGGTGTTACACATGCAGTCACAGTTATAACTGTTAAAACGCCTGTGTCAAGAGAATTGCCAGCAGCAGTCAATACATATAAAAGACTCAGCTGTAACCCTACCTTCTTACAGGCACAGCACTGGTAGGCAAACTGCTTCTCGAAGCAGGGCACGCAGAAGTAGCCAGTGTCTTTGGGGATGAAGGACTTGGTTCCTATTGGCTGCTGGCAGCGGTGGCACAGGAAGCAGGTCTCATGCCAGCTGTTCCCCTTGTATTCCATTTTGCGGGAACCTGGCATAGGGGACGAGAGCAGCTTAGTCAGCATATGGTTCCTCCATGACAGAAAAACACTGCAGCTCAAAATAGTCCAGATTTATCTGTGGGGAGGGGACCATGCAATCTTGATAATCTTGGAAAGAATTTTTGCATTGTTGTCTGGTGTTTTATATACTTTCAAGTTTCCATTTTCATATTTCTGCAGATATAACTATAGATATGACATAACTAGTGTATAATTTTTGTAAGCCTGTAATTCTTTCTGAAGAAACAATCACCACAAAGTCCATTTAGTGGCTGTGAGCTTTCCGTTGTATCGCATGATCCACCTTAGCAGAAACTTTTTTCTTTGGATATCGAAGATGTTTAAGTTTATATTTTTTCCTTTCTTCTCATCCACGTTTGATTCAGTAGAGACCAAAAGTTTGTTCTTGGTTTTGCCTTCATTCCTTTAACGTAGTTATTCCTTTCATTATGAGAAATGCTAGCAGTAGCAGAAGGATCAGTGACTCAATTCTCCAGAGCAGATACTAAATGGATCATGTGGTGAAACAGTTATGCAGCAAACATTTTCAAGGTCAAGAATGAATTTTCAATCTCAATAATGCATTTTCCATCTTTTTAAGTTATGATTTCATTTATAAGCATGACAGTGTATGACAATGTACCTGGCATGACAGTTTTCTTGCAGGTGGTACACTTGGAGGAATAGTCATGGGCGTAGCACTCAGTGCAGAGCAATGAATTGTCCTTGGCGGCAAAGGCCTTCTCCACCAGAGAGCGGCTGCACTTGGCGCACTTGAAGCACTGCTCATGCCAGTGGCGATCCTTGTAGGACAGGTCCTGTAGATATAACACATTAGTTATTGCACTGATGGATATTCTGTTTATTTAGTAAATGCATTGTTAGAAGAATCAAATTGCAATAAAAAATACATACTTTCTTATTTTACACCTGGGTTACAACAAAGTCCTGGCTCTAAGGGCGATTGTGGTGGTTTTTTACCTTGCAGTTGCAGCTTATTGGTAAAGAGCATCCCTCACAGCAGTTGGCAAACAGGTTCTCATAGCACTTAGTGCAGTACTGCATGTCCTCTTTCATTATGTACTTCTTCCCCAGCAGAGAGTCTTTACAGTAATGACAATCGAAACGCTCGCTGGTGGACATCGTCGTCTGCTTTTCTTAGCTGAAGGTCAAAGAGAGCAACAACAGGAAAATTGGACAATAAAGTAAATGGTAAGAGATGAAAAAAGCTCCTTTAATAGTGCAGGCAATCTCTTACCCCTCTCACCAGCCAAGCAAATACACCAAGCAATTTCTTTTCCCTTTCTTTTGAGAGAATCTGAGAAAAAAATGAGCGTTGTGTTGAGGAAGTGTCGACCTCGGCTGATATGGAGGGAGGATGAGGCTGTAAAGCTGAAGGGCTGCAGAGAGAGAGTGGACCAGGAGCAGGGATAGGGCAGGGATGAAGAGCGGTGAGGCAGGATTAGGGGTCTCCACTGTGGGGGATCGTCTATAAATACTGGCCCTCTTATTAGCGTTAATCTCTGGGGAGAATGGACACGCTCCGCTGCATCATTCTGCACCTTTTAAGGGCGCTGATGGTGCACATATCACCGAGCCTCAAACTGATTCCATCATTGTTGCTTTATTGTTTTAAAAGCAATGAGAAATGCAGTGTGATGACTTTATGCAACTGATGCAACACACAATGAGATATATGCTTCAGGATATTTTTCTCAGTTTGGATTTCGGTGCCACAGCAGAGATATAGTCGGCCATTTGGATGCAGTGACGTGTCCGGACACACTTGTGGCCTTTGTCAGTGCCTGCTATACTCACAGGCAGTTGCAGATGGCTTATGAGAGGTAGGCGCCAGCAGCTTTGTGGTTGCCAGGTACTGAACTATATTGCCAGGACCTCTCAGTGGCTATTGAGAGTGCTTTGGCAGCACTTCAGATGGAGGGAAGCTGCAGGCCTGTGGATGTTCAATTCGTCCACGGTGAAATGAAGGAGGAGCAGGAATGACAGATTAATAGGGACCATCTTGATACTCTTGTAACTCCATCAAATTCTCTTCGTGTTAAGCAGTGGAATAAGAGCGCTCTCAGGCTATGGTGCTGTGACTGTGCATCATTGAAATACAATATTCAATGTGTGTATGTGTTTGACTCAATAAGCTCATTAAGTTTCAGGTGTTAAAAAATGCATTTGAAATAAATCAAATTGTCACTTTTCCACATGGATATTAATCAAAATTCTTCTGCGTCTTTGACTGACACTTGGCTAATTACATTTTGATTCTTGGAATATGTGCTCATATCATTTTTCCAAAAGGATCAGGGGGGGCGGACATCTTCATAAAAATAGCCTGGGAAGACCACCAGCCCAGCCCACAGGCTTAATCCCTTGTATACACACACAGGAAGGTCAGTGACAGGGATGAGGCTGAGAGGAATGCAACTCTGTCTGGATGAACTCTGTCTTCACTCCACATTCGCTCCGCTACCACTCCTTGTAGAAAGAAGAAATAAACATTGCAGAAACACTCTGGCAACAAATAAGCTGCAGTCCTTTGTTGGATCAACAGATGATGTTGAAACAGGTTCTGCGGTGCATGTAGGTGGTGTCAACAAACCTCTGAGGAACAACTAAAGGCTGTATTATGTTTGACCTACACAATGCATGCTATATAAGCCTTTCAGCACAAACTAAATCACATTTTAGGAGCAGGACAGGTTTGTGGTCTGAAGCCGTGTCATCCTTCAGGTTCTTCTTATTTCTCAGCAGGAGGATCCTTCGGATTACCTAAGGTTATCTTTTGCCCTGGATTAAATTGCCACTGTACTTTACCCTGGCTCCCTGCTGGTGTCCAGATCAGTGGCTGCACGTCACAAAACAATGCAGACCTTAAATAAACCCAAGATCCAACTGTAGGACAAATATAGTCACTGCCTCTCGAAAAGTGTCTAATCTTTGTTGCGTTGCTGCACAGTCTGTCATCATGTGACATCAAGCCGGGGCGGAGGTGACCCATATTCACCAGTGAAATAAAAACTCATCTTGTAGATTGAGCTGGCATAATATCAAAATCACATGAATAAAAAAAAATTGCATCTCAACAGGCTGCGTATTCACAGAAGCAGATTAGTGTACATTCTGTTTATATTGTCGGACTTAATCTGCACTCATGCATGCATGTTTGTATTTTCATTTATTATAACTGCTCTGATCTGATGGATAGCAGGTGCTGCTCTTTGTCTCGTGGATTATTAACTTGTACACCAGGCAGTGCCAGCGCTGCAGAGCAAAAAGCTTGCTGATCTTGCATTTTCCTTTTGCCTGCTTAATCCTCCGAAGTCAACTAGTGAGCAGCTGCCAGCTGATTTCGAATGCGGCCTGTCCAGCCCTAAAAAAAAAGGCCTTTATTTGACCCGGACTCAGGTGTCCTCTTATCTTAATGTATTCAGGCTTTACAATAAGGTGTCAGGGGCTGTTCCCCCCCCCATTAATCAAATGATCTCACAGAAGAAGAGAAGCATTTACTTGGTGCCTCCTTTGAGGTGGTGACTTGTTGCAGACTGATCAACACGACACAGTTGAGTTTCTCTGGAGCACAAAAGCCTCTCTGCATCGGAGTTGACAACTGGTTGGCATGGTGATGACAGCATAAGTGGGATCCATTAGGTTGAGACGAGGGGCGGCTCTAGTGGTTAATGAGTGGACTCACACAGACCCGGGCCTTTGAGAAGGCCTCTGCAGTCTTCTGCGACACGCAGAGCTCGCTTTCAATGTGGCGTTTTTCTACCGAACAGGATAGCCACACAGGGGGTTGCCGGGGATGAAGAGATACAATCTACTAAGTCTACAATCTCGCAAAACCTTACACCCCTCCAGGGAGGCCGTGTGAGGGCCCTGGGTAATGCCATCACTGTCTCTGCCCCTCCTCCCCCGGGTTCTCACCAACGTGAGTCATGGTGTGTGTGGGTGACAAGACCTGTCGCACAGCCAGACATACGATCTCCACTGCTGAGGAGAAAAGAAAATTGTCCACTCCTAGGAATGCACAACCCATTAAAATGTTCTCCTCTTCCATCCCATTCCTCTTCAAAGTCCACTGACACCGTACACCTAGAATAAATATGATATGTTGGAGCAGCAGATAATGATCAATTATTTAAAGCCAGAAAAACAAAAGGAAGAATCACAATCTTTTGTAAACCTCATAGAGCTTCAGAGGACAGAAAGAAAGAACACCGACCAGGAATAATAACTTCATCCTCAAGGTCTGTTCAAACGCTGAAAATGTTCCAGAGACTTAGATAATTCAAAAAGCCCAACTTCATCAATATGTGGGTGAATCTAACATGGTGTAAATTGTCAAATGCCTGCTGCTAGCAGTCTCTTTTATATGTCACATCAAATCCTATTTTGGTGCCATGGGAGCAGCAGAGACAAGCTTGAAACATAACATTGACATTATTACATTTTAAGTTGTTACATGACAAACTTGATAGCAAAGAATTACTTATTTACACATTCAGAAGTTACAAAGCAAGTCCAATGTTCAAGTTAAGATACTGCAGCTGATGCTAGCTGCATATCATACATACATGCACAGTACAATTAGAAGATCGTACTATTCTCATGTATGAGAACGGGTCTGGAGCTCTTAGTTCATTTTTTCCCAATTTCCAGGGGGCGTTATCATCAAACAACAACCAATCAGAGCAACAAACCGCGCGACTTGTGGCAGGAAAGATGTGAACCTATTATCTCATAACCATTGTTTGTTCTTATAGAGAATCTGTCAAGCTCTTTTGATACTATCTCCATAGCAGATTCAACAGACCTCCCCACATCAGTGCTAGCCAAACTGGTTGTTAACAACAATGCTTCAGCTGTGTTCCTTTTGGATGCCATAAATCATCATATCAAAAATTATGGACCCATTACGGACCAATGGTTGTTCCAGGACATGATGTAAATCGATCTGAATGGGAGGGCAGCCAGGTTAATCAAGAAAGTGAAAAAGTGCGTTTCCCCAAATGATTCCTTGAGGAACAAGAGATGGAATCTGTGTAGAAATATTCTGTCATGTGTCCAAACACGTCAATGCAACATCCAGAGCTGAAACCCTCTGTGGCCCGGTCTTGAGTTCTGCAAACTGGAGACATACCCCCCACCCCACCTGAACTTTTACATTAATCCCAAACTGACATCAGCGGATTATTTATGCCACTGATCCAGGCACACACTTTGACCTGCAATGTTGAGTGGAGGCCGTTGACAAAGGAGTGTCATCTTCGCTGCATGGTGCAGGAGATGACTTCAAATATCAGAGTGCTTGTGAGCATATGGGGTATCTAACAACAGCTAGAGGATCGAGGCGTAACCACCACAACACACTCTCCTTGCTCTCATCAATCACTTATCAAGGCTTTTGGATTGCTATTTATACCTCAGTCTGCATAACATGGGACTGTAGAACAGCGCAGGCATCAACTATGGAAATCCCATTTAGATGCATGAACACGGTGGCATCGTGTCAAACTTAGAACTCTATACTTTCAAGATAAAGGAAATTACAAAAATACAATTTGGAACATGCGCTTATCTCTGTATTGTCAATACGACACACTCATTTGTAAGGTAAATATATCACTATAGCCAGTAGCTTGTTAGCTATTAGCAGTTAGCTCACTCTGTATGACGGCAGCAAAATCCACTTATACGCACCTCCACAGTTGACTCTGACTTGTAAAATGTAATTTGTTAAACCTGTAAAATGGTTTAATTGAAGTTAACGCACTTTGGTTTTCACACAGTTGAACAAACAACAACAAATGAGATATAGGCCAGCTCTTTGCCCCTGCTTTAGTGGTAGAGTTGCCATCTGTCCAGTTTTAAGTCGGACAGTCCAGTTTTTAAATCTATCTGTCTTCTAGTCGGACGCTCTTCGTCCTTTTTTTGAGATCATCCCTATTTATACTTTATCCAATGGTATATTATAAATATATTAAGAGGCCTGAATATAAGTCTGTGATGATGTGAATAACTCAGTGGGGGATTTTACATTCAAAGCAAAGGTACCATCAACTCAAAAATCTCCTTCCATATGACCTGTTCGTTTTGGTAAACGCGCTGACAGTGCACAAAAGCAACAAAACAGCAGAATCACTATTTGTTATGAAAAACAGTGCCAGTTTTAAAAAAAAATGTCAAACTAATTCCCTTACAAAGAAAAGGTAGTTACATGCTTCATCCATGTTTGCTCATTTATCCATATCTTTATTTTCTTTGACACTATCAGACATCTACAGTTCAAACACAACATTTGGCAAAATACATTAATTTGGCAAAAAATAAAGAAAGATAAACTTACTGATTGACTCACTGACATTTTCAGTGAACTGGCAAAAAAAAGGAGCATCTTCATGTTCAATCACACAAGAAGATTTCATCTCACTTGGTTATACAATGTTTTTTTATGAGGACTCCAGCAAAATCATGGGCAGGTCAGACAGTATCCAGAGACGTCCTGATTCACTCTCTGGTGATGTGACACACTCACAGACTCAGACACGGGGACAGAGAAAGTTGTGGCTCCTCGTGTTTGTTTTTGTGCGAAGTAAAAAAGAGAGAAAGGAAGAGAGGACGAAAAGGACAGACAACACACAGAAAAGAAAAACTTTTCATTTCATAAAGTCGCCGAGCACATTGGACGAGAAACCTTTTTTCAATGAATAGACTGTACAATATGAAACCCACGAGCAACAGGTTCATAGTGAATCTGTGGGACAGGCAGAGGTCTTGCATGACAGTTTTTTGATCTCACAATAGCTCCATCTAAAAGACAGCCACCAGCACAGTGAGTCACACAACTCCACATGAATGAAAGTGCTATATCTGCTGCATTTGAGCGTGACTCCTTTTCAATTAGGTCACACCAACAGGATTACTGCCTATAAAAACTTCTCCAGTGTAAAATTACCTCCCCTGACGAAATCGTCCACCTTACAACACTAACGCCATTGTCTCTGATGCAGGTTATTATTTTCAAGTCTCTCTCTCTCCTTTCAGTTTGATTCACAGTCTCTGGAAGCACCAGCTTTACTTACAAAGGAACACCGAAATCACATCCACCGCCGGACGACACTCGCATGTTATAAAGAGATTTGAACATTAAAAATATATACAACACCAGTGTTTCCTTTTCCCCCGTAAATGCGAGAGATCCCTCCGTCTGATTCACACATACAGGAATGATCTGTGTTAGTGGGCTGGTTCGATCCTGTCTACAACAAGGTTTTATATACAGGTTTTCGTTATGGCATTCAGAACCATATTCCATAAGAAAAATAATTGGATTCATCAATATTTACATCAATGGTCCCTTTTGACAGTGTGAAGACGTATCAAAATGATAATAAACCTGACACGTTTGAGTACTCTGACCAAGAAGCCACAGGCTTATCTTGCATAAAATGTTGCCATGGTTTTGCACAGTACCTTTGGAAAAATGTTACCATCTTGTCAATAGCTGCAGAGTGCTGTTTGACAGACATTGATTGTGTGAAATATCTACAGATGAAGAGCTGTCTGTTAGTTGTGTGATCTCGAGTGGTGTAGTGCTGTAAACAGGAGTGTAAAGAAAAACAAGAAACAACTTAATAAGCTCCGCCAACTCCCCGAACAGCACTGGTGTAATGATTCAAAAACAGAAACGTGGATAATCTCACCGCAAGCACATTTTTCATAACATGTGGGCAGATCTCACCTTGTCTGAGCTGGTCTCATTCACACTTGCTTTAACCATATGCTGCGGAAAACAGTTGAAAATATCAGTGTCTATATTTAAGATGAAATTGTCGATGAGAGAACAGAAGTAGCAATGTAACAAAAAGATTCCGTCATGTGTTAATTTTGTGCTATTTTTGATTTTTGTATACATGTATTCGATGAGAAATTACTTTTCAAGATTAAATCAGTATGCAACATAATGAGCTGTGTGGGAGTTTCACATCCCAGCACAATGGCTCGGCACCGTACCATCATCATCCACATGGGATCCCACCGCACTGTGACACATTACATGTGACAATGAGCGATTCGCAACACGATTAAAATAGTAACCTCCCTCTCACCGAGCGGAGTCACATCTGCTGTCAGAGGCGAGTGGGGTAATGATCACCATATGCCATCAACGACCACAGTGTACGATGAAGATCTGTCTCACTGTACACGTGTTCAGATCGCAACCGCGGGATTAACTGTGCAACTGCAAACTTCAAAAAATATGGAGAAACAAATTACAGCTACATCATTTTAAATATACACAATATGTACACAATTTTCACATTTGAGCTTAGTAAACACTGCATAGGTGACTGCATCACTAGCACAGATGAAATTGTTTCTTTTTTGAATCGTATAATGCCTCACTTGAATAAATATCACATAAATATTTTCACTTTTCTGTCTGTCTACTTCGGCAGCCAACACTATTGCAAAGTCTGTGTGCCACTTCATGAGAAGGTGATTTTAAAAGAAAGAAAAAAAAACAAGCTTGCATTCAGAGTATTATCAGTCGTTCACACAAACATGCATTCATAGCTCAAAATAAAACAAAAACATAAAAAATAGCAGCAAATGTGGTCATGTTAAGTAAAACCTGGGTTAAAATGAGAATAAAAATGTAGTGCATTTGTAATTTGTTAAGAAATAAATACAAATAACAACGGATTAACGAAAAAAGGCAAAGTAAGGCTTAGCAAATTGGCTTGCAAATAAAAAACACAAGATGGACATCTCACTGGGCCGTTGAACCAATAGAAAAACACCAGTCAGGATCTCTCGACAGAACAGTGAACATGAACCTTCATATCAACCGAAGGAAACAAATTTAAAGCACTGCCTTCAACAACAAAACAAGCCCTTCATAGCCCTTCACAGCACTATCCACCCCAGTACCACTTGTCAAGGTTGTTGAATGCCTTATACTCCTTGTGCCTGCGCAGGTAATCACAAGCCAGGCATGTGTGCTCTGCCCAGAAATAGGCCTTCTTTACTTTAAAGTGCCGTCGCCACTCAAAGTACCTGACGTACATTTCCTCATTTTTGTCCAGGAGCAGCAGGTAGTCCGCCAGCTCCTTGGGTGAGGGGAAGTCATCCACGTGGATGAAGGCGTCTCCCTGGATAAAGTTCTCATAGTTTGGCCGGGGCGGACCGAGAACCACGGGCACTGTTCCCACCGAGAGCGGGTTGTACAGTTTCTCAGTGATGTAGTCCTTATGGATGGAGTTCTCAAAAGCCAGGTAGAACTTACAGCTGGCCATGGTGGGGAAGTAGTCCTGGTCGGCAATGTATTCCCCGAAGGCTTGTCCGTAGGCGTGAACCTCGATGTGTTTGTACAGCTCATTGTAGTACTTCACCCGCACGTGGTCCTGGTTCCAGTTACTCACAATCCAGCAGATCAGTTTGTTTTTGCTAGGTGGGACAAAGTCCTCCTCGCCCTCCGCTGCTACGATGGACCCATAAGGCACTTCAATGTCAGCATCCTGACGGTAATTGAGAGTCAGATTGAACAGGTTCTCGATCCCGGGCAGCTGGGACGAGTGCGACGGCGACTCCAGGTTCATCCATACCCACTTCTGGAAGGACGGTCGCTGGAACGGCGGCAGGTTGGAGAGGTCGGTGCAAATGTCTCTGTGATGGATGATGATGCCATCTGACTTGTTGTAGAAGTTTCTGTCCGCTGTGATGAAACAGCCCTCAATGTTGAAGAGAGAGCTGCAGACGCTCAGGTCGTAGGTCTGTCCGAAGGGCCATAGCCATATCAATACGGTGGTCACGTTTTTATCGCTCTTGGTGGAGAAGAGGCTCTTAACGTGGTCCGTGGACGCCGTTGACTCTACGGGACCTGACAGCCAGCTGGTGGACGGTTTAAAATACATCAAAAACAGAGTGACAAAGCATCCCAGTATGAACGTGCCGAGCAGAAGGGGTCGTAGGATTCTGTGAAAAGGTGCAGATGGCATACTCTGTCCTGAAAAGGGCAAAAAAACATGAAGAGAAAAGTCATGATCAACAGGATGTAACACCCAAACTAATCACTCAATTAAAATCCAGCATCTGCCTCTTCTTGCGATAGTCTATGAGTTTACACTCTGCTATTGGATCAATGAAATGTGTGACCTCCTCGGGCACATTTTATTACAAACCTGGTGAATTCGACTGAATGCTGAAATCCGAGCAAGAGTAGACGTCGTGGGGGTCGGAGGGAGCAGCTCCTACATCGGGTCAACGGTGAGATCAATCTTCGATGTGAATCAGCGCTCATAGAAAAAAAAAGGTCATGGCTAAGAGATGCCTCTTACACAGAAAAATAATGATGCACGGGTCCTCTTAGCGATTCCTCCTTTACATGAGAAGAGGGAGAGAATCAGAGATAATCGGTTAGGGTTCTACAGAAGAGGGGGGGGGGGACACACAAAGCATCACCAAGAAAACACAAAGCATACATGAGTTGCAGGTTATGTGCTGTCAGCAAGCAGGAGAAGGCTTCATCTACACAAATAACTCAACAGATGAGTTGGAAAATAAAATAAAAACACTACAGTTATTGAAAAATGTCCAGCTAATGGTGATTGTTCTTTTAATCATTGCCAGTTAAGCTTGGGGTGCAAGCTCCCAACTGTTATTAGCTTTTGGCACAGACCTTGCGTACTGTAAGAGAATGCTGCCATCTTAAGGCAGGGGAGTAGAAGGGCCCCCCCTGACTCTGACTCTACCACTCTCTGGGGCTCAACACACCTGCATGCTGCACAGAGAGGTCATACTAGAAGGAATAAACCTTCAGAGAGGTTTTTGTTAATCCTGTGCATCACTGAAACATATTTACACCAGTAACTGCAGCTCAAACGCAGATATTGTTCACTTTATGTGTCCAGCCCACCGTGTGGGGAGTGACATCAGCTTCATGTAAAGCATCGCCACCATCTACAGCATCATCTGTATGACTTAGCTCCAGAGATGTGAACCATGAACTCGGGCCAGATGAGTGTGACTCCTTTTAAAGGCTTACAGTATCAATACATTTTCATGTAGGCAAATCCTCTTACACTGCTGAACCACGCTTTCTGTCACCAGCCGTGATAAGCTCTTTGCTTTACTGAGAATGCAGCCCGGCAAGGCACATGCGGCTATACCTTCGTATGTTGGTGTCAGGGATACAGGACTGGAGCGATCAGTGCTGCAGAGATCAAAATCAAGGGCCTATTAAATATGCAGTGTGTGGTGTTAAAGTTAGTGTCTCCATGGTGATGGCGCTGAGGTCAGAGTATTTGATATGGGAGGGTTACACGGCCACAACACTTGTTATTTTCCTCCCTCCCTTCCATCTTATGAGCCTGGAGTGGGACACGTGCTCAGCCCAGGCATTCATTCACATTTTAAAGAATATAGCTGAGGTTTTTTTTTTCTCCTTTATTTATCAAATGTATTGTGATGTATTTGGGACACAGGGAGGGAGGGAGGGAGAGAGAGAGACAGAGAGAGAGAGAGCATTGCATGGGTGAGTAGTCTGCAGCGGGGTTTGAAATGTCTGGAGCAAAGCAGGAAGCACAGATATTTCTTTGGGAAGAATCATTCCCAAAGATGTGGTTTCAGTAACAGGTATAAAGGGCAAAAATGAAAAATGCTTGACCCCTGCAAAAAAACAGAAATCACATATTGGGCATTTAGCTCTGATTTATGTGCTTCTGTCAGGGAGGCCACAGCTCTGATTGTAAAAAAAAAAAAGGGGACACTCCATCCCAGGTGAGAATTAATTTCCACCCTGTGAGCACTGAAGGTCATTTTAAAACGTGATGCCATATAGAGGAGGAAAATGGTTGTCAAGTCATTGAAGTTGATGAGGATATTCACATTTTTGCGCACCAGAAACGTGCAGAGATAAGAAATAACCCCATGGAGGATGATGCTGGAAAGAAATGCACAGTGTGAAAGCCTCAAATATGCAGAGGAGTCCAATCTAAATCATACACTTCCCCTTAATTTGAGGTGTGCATGTGCGTTATGATTCGACAAATGCTAAGAAAAACAAGCTCCATAGTGAAACATGGAAATTAAGCGATGATTTCTAATTAGCTGGCCGGGATTTGTCGTCAAAAAGCAGGTACCGCTGCTGCCGCCGCTTCAGCCATGGGGGGAGAGAAAGAGGAGAAAACAGCAATTTCACTCACCATCTTGACAAGCGTGAGCCAAAACAGACCTTTCCTCTCATTTCCTCCAGAGGATCGGACCCTCCTCGAGGGCAGCGCGATGGAGGATGCGTGGATGCGGCTGCAGGGGAGAAATCATGCCCGTGCGCGGTGTCGTGTTCGCAGGGATGGATCCGGAAGAGCCCGCATCCATCGTCTCGATCCTCGATGATACCTATGCACGGTCGGCTGCAATGTGCGCGCAGTCCTCTGCACGCCGACGCGCGCACAATGATGGCTGCACACACACACTGTCACACACACTCAAAGAAATGAAACAGGAGGAAAGGACGGGAGCATCGGAGGCTACCACAGCAGCCTGCACGCCGGAGTCACGGCTCGGTGTGTGAGGACGCCATGTATGCCCAGGCATGTGATGCGATGTGGAATAATTCCCTGCTGCCTGCCCATGCGCTACCTTCCTCTGTTTACCGTCAATGCAGCTGCAGGTTCTGGCGGAGCCTCGGTGCACGCGTGTGTGTGCGTGTGATGATGATGAGATTGGTGCACGTTACACTTTAAGTGCTTAAGGTTCGGATAAGAATAAACAGGAGAGTCGTGCGTGTGAGTGTGTGCAGGGATCGGCAGGTTTCCCCCTCACAATGACTGATGCACCAAAACAAGACAAATATGGGGGAGTGTAGAGAGAGAGAGAGAGAGAGAGAGAGAGAGAGAGAGAGAGAGATAGAGAGCGAGAGAGTGTGTGAGTCAGTGTCTTTCAACCACAAGGCTATTAGAGGCGATAATGCACCATCAAGGCTGACTACATTATTAAGTTATTAAAGCAGTTTGTGCACATTACCAGGTAATTTACAGCAGCTGATTGGCTGCGTATACTGTGACAAACAAAACACTAATGTCTCAGTGAAGAAGCTGAAAACATGGTGTGTGAATCTGTATCAACACATTTGGAAATTAAAAGCCTTTGATTTTGTTGTATATTATCTTTTTTCCTCTGAATTTAACTCTTCAGTTGGAAAAAAACCAAACTCATTTATTTCAAATTTCAAACAATTCAGAATGTTTGAAACAATACTTTGAGGTTAAAAATGTCACATTACACGTCTGAGATAGCGAGGATATAGATTCTGGCTGAATCTAACCAACATTCCGCCAATCACATTGAGCTCCAGTGGTCATGTGGCGTGGATGCTTAAATGTACAGCACCGTCAAATCTTGTGAATGTCTTATTAACAAAGAAAGGCAACATTTAAAGAGGCGCTTCAGATGCAGCTCCACTTCCTCCCACAATCCAGTTTTATCCTATTTCATTGCATCAAATTACTAAATAAATGTAAAAATGAACACTGGAGCAAACATAAGATGACAGAAACTGTAACAAAATCATTTCATGTTTACTTTGCCCTGTTCCATCTGCAAATAGGATCCCGATGATTTAAATACAGTCACTAAGTTCAGCTCACTCTTTGCAGCTTCCACAAACTACACTCTTCACACAATGCTTTGCCACACACAGACAAATGTGTCTTCTCTCACACACTGACAACCGAAACAGAGTAGCTTGCAGAATTTGAACAGATTGGTGACTGAAAAAAATAAAAACCACTGTATGTCCCAAATGTTGGACAACAATAGGAATTAGCCTTTGAGAGGTGAGCCAGAGTTTGGGAGGTGTCACTCGCTCTCTAATCCCTGGTCGAACCAGCGGTAACTAAGGAGTTAGCATCACTATGGCAACGATTAAAACTGCAGAGCACAAACACACCTGATTCAGATCAGCTAATTAGACTGCACACACACACACACACACACACACACACACACACACACACACACACACACACACACACCTCTCCAAAGTTGTGAGGACACTCACTGACATAATGCAACAGTTAACAGCCTAACCCTTCATAACCCTAACCATCCCAACTAAATGCTTAACCTAAAGCTAACTCTAACCCTACACTCAAGTCCCAATCCTCAAACAACTCTTTGAATTTGAGGACCAGACAATGTCTCCAGGAAGTCAAAATGTCCTCAAAATGATGGCATTGAACCACAATTAGCCCTAATTACTAGAAAGAGAAGCACGCACACACACACAAACACGAGATGCACAACGACACAAACACATATTATTATAACAAGAAATAGGCAAACACGGTTCAGCTGCCATGAAAGTGACCACAATGCACCTTTACATAAAACCATCATTCAAACGTTTTAGGTTCAGTCTCCTGTGGAGGGACATTGTGGAACAAGTCTCAGAGTTATGACCTGGAGTTTTGAATCTGTGGTTGGTGAATTATTACTTGACCTGTCACATATGCTTACAGTAGGAAAACCAAGTGCTAATATTGGGTAGCTGTTCGATAGATTCACACGTAGACACTGTGTGAATGGAGCCTGGAGGAGATGCAGATATCAACACATTTGACACATCACAAAATAATTTTCCAGAATTTAAATGACATAAGAGAACACATACTGTATAACGCTGGTGGACTCCTTACGCCTCATTTAGCTGATGCTCGTCCCTGGAAACTGCAGTTTTCAAATGTAGGATATGAGGTGTGCTGCTTTGTTTGACAAACACAAATAACAAAAAAACAAACACAAAGACAAACATTTCAATGTAGAAATAAGTCTCACCTGACATTGTTGCAGTTAACTATGAAGGGCCGGTGGTATCTTCCAGAGTAGGCGTCTCTTCTGCAGGTTGTGAAGGACTAAGTGTGGATGGTGTCGGACGTCTTATCTTATTTCTAGGTTACGGTCATCCACCAGCAGATACTTGTTATCTGTGAAGTATGAGTGGCTACAAATCACAATGTAGACAAATCTAAATAAAGAACCAACGACATGAATTATGACTGTTCCTGTAGAAATCGCTTTAACCTTAAAACACAGACTTAAGATCATGTACAATCATTCCACTTTACTTTCCGTGATTTTGTTTACATGCAGGGTTTTAATCGTGGATTTGTTGCAGTTAATTTCGATCTTGTAATTGTATAAAATCGGTCATCATATTTGATTTCAAGCTGCTAGGGCAACTGAGGAATATTACCAATATTATTATACAACTGGCTGATTTAGTGTTTTGTCTGTTGATTTACTGTCCCTGTAAAATAAATACACTTGTACTTAAAGCACAAATATGGCACAAATATTGCTTAAAAATGAGAATCAGTTTATTTGAATGATGAGAATTAAGATAATCATGATATTAAAAATAATAATCACGCAGCTGTAGAAATGAAATACCAATGATGTTCTTACCTGATGTCCCCACCCACCTCTTCTTGTCTTCTTTCAGTGTGAAACAAATGGCATCTTTACCATCCTTTCAGAGCTGCACTTTATTGCTTTCTAGTGAGGTTTAATACAGTCACAGTTTACAGAAATCATGCTGCACAGTTTCAGGTGGATACATCGGAGACAGTGACAAAACATGCTGATAATGTTATTTGTCCCAAAAAGTGCCAAGGGCGGTGTCAACAATAATACCTAGACATCAGGTAAATTAACAATAATTCACCTGAAATTAAAAAATTAAGATAATGACGTAGTTGATCATAAAATTATTCATCAATTTCATCTGATCCATTCTGTAACTAGGGGTCTGTTAAGTTTTTATGTCAGAATTCCACGGTCAAATCATTCCTGCCACCTTCGTCGCTCACCACCAAATATGGCAGCCCATTTGCGAGTTATCTCCAGGTAGATAGCAGGCTTGTTGGGCAGGTAGTCCAGGTACACAGTCTGGCTTGTTTTGGGAATTGCCATTTCAATCTGTGTCCCCTCGTGCCACTCATTAAAAGACGTTATAGATATAAAATCAGGCCGGGCCTCTAACGCGGCGCTCAGCGAGGTCTCGTAGTATTTGCCGTTTATGCGGTTTCGAGTGTTCTGGAAGTTCCAAGGTCGAATGCTTGTGTCAATATATCCCGGGCCCACGCTCGGGATGAAAATCAGGTTGTTGTCTTCGCAGAACGCTTTGATAGAGTCCCAGTTCCGCTGAGTGGATCCATAAGAGAAGCCATTAGTGGCGAAGTAAGTGTAGACACCGTCGAATCCTGCGGTCAAGATATCCCTCTTATGTTTCTCCTCGACAAGAAGGGCGATGAAGATGGCGTCATATGGGGTGTCTCTGATGCTGTTACTCTCTGTGTGTTTCAGCAGCTTCGCCCACTGTTCCGAATTCATCAGATACGAGTCGTACACATAGAAGAGCGGAAGCAGCTTGCCAGTGTTTGTACGGTACTTGAAGAAAGCCGGGTGCTCTCCGTATCTGAGGAGGAGAGTTATCAGATGGATTATCAGACACAATAATTATCAATTAATGCAACAAGTCGTGACAGAATGATTCGATGAGAAAGTGTGAGATCAAGAGACGGACAACACTGAAGGAACACAGCACTTCTCACCTGTCTATGATGTATTTGACATTAGAGAACATATTGACTTCATCCCTCCCTTTGTACGGCTCAATGTGAAACGCGACCTGTGAACGCAAACATCACAGCAACATTAATTTACATCTTTTATAGCAGACACATTTTTTATCAGCCAACTGATGAATTGGCCTTTGGTCAAACCTTTGATCAGATTTCATGTTATGAAACTCACAAATATCTGCATACAGACCTTAATATAGTATTTATGAGCCACTTCCAGCAGCAAAGGGACAAAGTCATCTGTTGGTTCTCCATTGTCATCCTTCATATCAGGAGGATACCAGGAAACAGCAATGACACCTGGGAATAAACAGTTCAAGGTCAAACATGACTGAAAGAAAACACTTATAATATAAAATAACAATTCCTCATGAATATAATAAATTATACTAATAGAGGGAAAAGGTCTTGCAGTGATATTAAATGTGCACTGGGAGTATAACAGCAGACGATCGTTGAGGGGTTTTGATATGAATATCCGTCGATATATGGATTTGTTGTGTTGAATCAGTTTATCAAAATTGTTTATACCAATAAATCAGGGAATCTTTTCTGAATATTTAGCTACAGTAAAGTGTGATTTATTTCTTTATCTATTTTTAATTTTGGCAGGTTTGTTCCTCCACATCTCATAGTGAAAGAAACACATCACCCAGCTTTTTCCTGATTTCAAAGTTCAGGCAAAATCCTCTCTTACCAACAGCTGCTGTACGCAGCTGCTGCATGTGAGCCTCTATGATGGAGGGGTCCTTGGAACTGTAAGCTCCCAGAGAGGGATAAAAGTTGGACCCGATGTCGTCAGGTGGGCTGTGTCTCCCTTGTGGATACCCATGAGCCACCTTTAAGTCCCAGTGTGGCAGCTGCGGATGGTCCCAGTGGATGTATTTGCCATCGAACTTGGGATTCCCATACCATGTGTAGTAGAAGGTATGGACATAGTAGTTTGGAGGCGCAAACTTCTTCAGTGTCGCCTCCAGTTCTTCATCTTTTTCTGACTTAACGGCGTCGCTCATTTTAACCTGGTGGGCTTTATTGTCGTTTTCTCTCCGGATCTGATTGTCATTCTTTCTGTCGGGAAACACGGGGCTGCTGAATAGAGAGTCCTCTGGTGAGAGAGCTTTCAAAACCAGAGTTATGACGAGGGCGAGCAGAATGAAAGCTAAGAGTGTGATGCAAGATTTGCGCCTGAACC